CACCCGTTGGGGGGAGATGGGCGGCATACAAATTTAATAATAAATAAATAAATAAATAAAATGAAGGGCTGGCACCTTAACATGAGCTTGGAAACAAGTGGCTAACAAGCGGAGCTTCTGCAATATGCTTCTTGTACCTGGATTTTCAAACTTTGTTTCTGCACTTAAATTCATGTTTATTGTCTACTACAGAAGTAATAAATAATAAAATGAATGTGATTTAACTCTTGAAAAAAGGCTCTTTCTCTCTGTTTCTAGAGGTTTGGAATTGGACTGGAGCTCCACCCACCATAATGGGTAGTGATACAAAAACTATTCTTCAAGGGTCATATCTGTAGCACTTAGCTTCATCCAGACAAACACAGCGTGAGGGGGTTGTTTGTTTCTCAGAAAGAGCCTTACTTCTAAAAGGCACACCCTATGTAGAATTGTGTTGTAAGGAGATGCAGCTATACAGGAGGAGTGCCCAATTCAAAATCCCATTCCCCCAGCTTGTTAGGTGGTAGGCAGATCCACACTTTTTGCTTGCCCCACCCACCATTTCTGGAGGGCAAAAACAGGATGTCCTCAACCCACTCCCAGCTTGCAGGGAATGCTTGTGTTTTCCTGGACTGCCTCAGAATGGGTGTTTTCCACTTATGGATGGGAAAAAGGGTGATGGCTGGTTTATCTGCTGCATTCACTGTGTTGTAGGTAAATCCCTCTGAAGGGGATGAGTTCACATAATCTTTTAACTATGAATGTGGTGTGAATACAGCCTCTTATTCATATTGGTAGTTACTCATCATCAAAACAGGCTTTTGATTTTTTAAATTTATGTATCAATTTGGAAAAAAAATAATGTACTGTAGTTTATAAAGTTAAAGCATCACACTGCACACATATGCATCCACCAGCAGCAGCTTTAAATGAAAAGTCCCTTTCTTGTGCTTTCCCAGAGTGGGCTTCTTAAACTCTGCTGCAGTTGCTGCCGTAATAGTGCTCCGGTGGTGTATCATGTTTGCCTCACATGAAATGGGTTGAAACCAGCCCCCTGCATTTTTTAAACTTTCTATCCACTTTTTTGGTTTGCTACTGGTAATCAGTTTACCAGTAGACCATTAAAATGCTGGAACAATCCTCCCTCCCTCCCTCCCTCCCTTTCTTCCACCCAACCTCTCTCAGCCCCAGGTAAATGCAGTGATGTTCTTTAAAGCTCTTGTCTATTTGGGCTATTTGGGAGCTGGGGCAAGACTGACAAGTGTGAAAATATTCACTTGTGAACTAGTAAAGAACAACAACAGCAATCAAGTGGAGAGCTCAGGGCAGGAAAAATAGTAATGAATGAAAATGCTTTCTAGCTAGTTTCAAACCAGGGACCCTTCACATGTAAGGCAAATATAATAATTGCTGTGGTATAGGGTGAAGTGCTAATGCTGGCTATTTTTGGAAGGAGTTTTTGAATGTGCTGTTCATTGTCCTGCTGGAAGCACATGACCTGCAAGTCCCTCCCCTGGCAAGGAAAGCAATTGGTGCTTGCTCTCCTGGCAAGGGTGGGAGGGGTAAAGAAACAGGAGAATTCACCAATTAGGAGCTATGTTCACCACAATTCAGACAGAACACCTGGCTATCACCATGTCCAAAGTAGAGGAAGGGATTGACATCTGGAAAGGAATTGCTTAAGCTGGCTTCATTTCCAGCTGGTTTATTTATGGGAGACAAACAGCTGAAGGGTGCCATGTGGAAGAGCCTTAGACTCCATCTACAGTAATGCCGCCTTATCTTTCTGAACTACAACTAGGTAACAGATGTGAAACATTTTGAGCACACTGAATAAAGTCCAAGCATTATTGTTTGGAAATAAGGCTTGCTGAAATCCTTCCATTAGATATTTTTAAGAGGAGGGTGGTGGACAGTTTACATTTCCTGTACATGTGACTCTGACACAACTCATATGAGAGCCATGAATAGCAATTCATTATCTTCTCCATGCCAGTTATATTGTTGCCAGCAACGCTTGCTAAGTTGATTGCTTCAATATTCTACCTTTTTCAACATTTGTTACTAAAACTCAAGCTACAATGTTGGACATTCTGTATTAGCGTATTTGATAATTAGATTCTCAGAGAATTATCTTGCGTTACATCAATTCATGTCACTAGATGAAGTAGGAGGACTTGAATACTGCCCAAACATTTTCTCTTATATCTCTGCAATTGAAGGGACTGAAGGCTTAGTGTTTTCCCAAAATTAAAATAAAATACATATATGGAAAGGGCCCCAGAATATCCTTGAGTGGAATAGAGGGTGTTTTATTAATTGATTGATGGCAATAAATAAACAAACAAACAACATCTAATCTGTAAGAATTAACCCTCATGGAAAAGATAATTCCAACAGAACCATACAGCAGTGTGGAGAACAAGATAATATAATGGAGTAATAGGGGCTCCAACACAGAAATGCACTGCTGGTTTTCTGGAGAATCATAATAGAGGATTCAGTTGGGCCCCTTGTGGGAGGATTTCCATGACTGAAAGTGTGGTGACAGGGACCCCTGTGACCTGCATCCCAACCAGCTGAACCTCCAATGGCAAGACCTACAAGGCAAGCTTTCCCTTGGGTCCTCACAACCAACGAGCGCAGAGCTCTTTATAAAAAGGTTTGAGACTGAGAAATGTCTTTAATTCAGTTCTAGCTTTCTGGCTTTCTCTCATTTTGGTCCAGATGTTTATATCTGAAGACCCTGTAAAAGTCAAGGTGTTCTTTGAAATAACAATTACTTTGTCAGTAATTTTTTCCATATGTTTGCCTTCTTCAACTCTGCAGGGATTCTACATCCATAACCCAACATGGTTATTTTCTCAGGGAAAATAATTGCTCAAAAATTATAATATAGGAACAAATAACATATATCTGCCTAAAATCAAAACGAAAAGACAGCTTTTATTATTATTGAGGACAAAGAAATTAGGAATCTGGGGGAAAAAACTTACTCTAAAAATATCTGCATAAGCAGCACATGTGGTAAAACATACAATTAAATGCAATGTTATTTCTCCAGTGTTGAATGATCCCCCCCCCCCCATTTCTCTCAGCCTACAGTTGCAGGCTGCATTTCCCTGTATTCTGATTAATTTGTTACTATTTATATTTTAAACTGTGGGCAGTTTTATTCAGCAGCTTTAAAACTTAATTAAAGTGCCAGATGTCATGTTGGAAACAGAAAACCAGAAGCCAGATTGTAACTCACAACACAACAACAACAACACTCATGTAACGAAAAGAATGCCGTTCCTCTAATTCCCCAGTTCCCTTCAACTGGCTTCATTTTATCTCTTCCTTCTTTGAGGAACTTTAGACATTGCAGGTTTGTTTGACTCTGCTCTCTGCTTCTGCTTCTTGTAGATTCAGAGCAGAGCACAGGATCCGAGACCGAAGTGCTGGCAGAGAGGACATCCTGCTCGTTTGGTTCCCCGTCAGACCTCACATCAAGCAGCTCGCTCTCCCAGCCACTGCCTGCCTCATCCATGGAGGAGATCCAAGTGGAATTGCAGTGCGCTGATCTCTGGAAGCGATTCCATGATATTGGCACAGAAATGATCATCACCAAAGCAGGCAGGTAAGGCATCCTATCTGCTTTTGATGGAGAGCTGCCTTAATGAAACCAAAATCTGCAGCTCTTGCCTTGTCTTGCATTACCATGATCTCAGTTCCTAAGAACTAGAACACTCCACTTTATTACTATGTGGTGCCCTATCTTTCCATGCTCGTGGTGTAGAGACAGTACTGCCCAGCAGTTTCAAGGCAGATAAAGAGAGGAAGGTTGACTTCTCTGTGTGCAGCAAACGTTCTATATTTCATTTCTTAATTCTAGCTGCGATAATATGAAAATAACTATCAGTTTCAGTCCATGCCCACTATGATTGTGAGATAGCTAGATAGCTAGATAATAGATGGACACACACATACACAATGCACGCGCACACACAATTGTGGTCATTATTTCCAAAAATAGTAGTAATATTTTATCAGTCTCAGGGCTTTTAAAATCACTTGGAAAGAATTTCTAATGAATATTTGTGAGAATGCCAATAACCAGTTGAACATCTGGAACCTTCCAAATCTGTAGTTCTTGCTAAAGATGGAAGAAGAAAGAAGAAATAAATGACAATTAATTAGGCAGTGGATCTCCTGAATGCAAGAGTGGTAATGGATAATAATAATAACAACAACAACAACAACAGCAACAACAACATGCCACCCAACTCCGGGCATCCATACTCACTCTCAATGATTAAGAGTTATTGAATACTGTAAGTTTTCATGTTTGGATGAGCAATATACAAGTGCATCAAACTTCCATAATAGAGTTATTTGACTCCAGAGTTATTTGACTCCAGAACTGACTATTGAAAAAGTGGGACTATGGCTTTTGCAGATAAGCCAACAGTTCATAGTGCTGATTCATTGTCTACTGCAATCCCTTTTCTATTCCCAAGCAGTCTTTCAAGTATTTACAAATAAATTGCATTTTTAATTGAAAAGGGAAATTGCAAAACAAATAGAAAAAGGAATCAATATGTATTTAGCTGTTTAAAAAATGAAATCTATTGATAAAATAGGAAGCTCTGCTGTTGCCAACTCCTTGACACAGCTGGCTGTTTTAAATCCAAGGCCTAACATTAGTAATGGTAAACTGTTCACTAAAGGTGTCGACATACCGTGCATCCACTGTAAAAAAGGCCAACAGCTTGTTAGGGATAATATGAAACAGTATTGAGAATCAAGATGTCAATATCATAATGCCCTTGTATACATCAATGGTGTGACTTCATCTGGAATATTGGGTGCAATTCTGGTCACTGCAGCTCAGAAAGGATATAGTAGAGGTAGAGAAGGTTCATAGGAGGGCAACAAGGTGATCAGGGGTCTGGAGCAGCTTCCCTATGAAGAAAGATTGCAACATTTGGGGCTTTGTGGTCCAGAAAGGAGGTGAATGAGAGGGGACATGATTGAAGTGTACAAAATTATGCATAGTGTGAGTAAAGTGGACAAGGAGAAGCTATTTTCCCCCTCCCAAAATACTACAACCATCCAATGAAATTGAATCCTGGAAGAACCGGGACAGACAAAAGGATTTTTTTTTACACAATACTTAATTCAACATTGGAATTTGTTACCACACAGTGTAGTGCTGGCTACCAGCTTGACTGCCTTCAAAAAAGGGCTAGACAAATTCATGGAAGTCATGGGGGTCAGTGGCTGTTAGCCTTGATAGCAGTGTGGCTACCTCTGAAGGCCATCTGCTGGGAAACTAGTAGGCTTCCTTGTGCAGTTGTTGGCCACTGTGAGAAGAGACTGCTGGATGAGATGGGCCAGGGATCTGATCAAGCAGGGCACTGCTTGAGTTTTTATGTTCTTACCTAACTTGCATCATTCTATCATAACTCTTGGCATGAATTTCCATGCCTTCCCTGCCGAGAACACAACTTTTTGACACAATAAATCAGTGTTTCTCAACCTTGGCAGCTTGAAGATGTGTGGACTTCAACTCCCAGAATTCCCCA